AGTTGCTGCTGCTGCTCTGCGTCTGTAGTCGGCTGCGGCCTACTCGCGGCCTTAACCCCGAAACCCTAAACCCTAGTTAGACCCTAAACCCTAAACCCTAACGATAAACCTTAAACCGTAATTCTAAACCCTAAACCCTAAACCCTAACTCGTAGAACTAGAGGATGAGGAGTTGGATAAACACACAGCAGGAGGGACAAGAGATCGACCTGCTGCGACGCTGCTGCTGCTCCTGCTGCTGCTACTGGTACTGCTGCTGCTGCTGCTGCTGCTGCTGTTACTGCTGCTGCTCACCAGCCGCATGCAGCATCGGTCCAGCCCCAACTGAATTGAGCGTTAATTGATTTAATTCTGCAATTTAAATATTCCTTAAAGGCAGGGGAACGGAGAAGAAGGGAATCGTATCCAGCAGCGCTGCCGCATGCAGCAGCAGCAGCAGCAGCAGCAGCAATAGCAGCAGCAGCAACTTTGTTAGAGTTTTATCTAAAGTCTTCTTTTTTTTGTTTGCTTTGGCCTGGCGCTGCTCTTCTTAAAAGCCTATGCAGCAATGGCTGCGCCGCTGCTCGCTGCTGCTCTGGGTCGAGGGTATTGGGGTTTAGGGTTTCCAGTATAGGGCTTCGGGTTTAGGGTTTAGGGTTTAGGGTTTAGGGTTTAGGCCCTGGCCCTGGTCTCTTCTGCAGCTCAGCTGAAAACTTTTGTTGCCTTCTCCGCTGTGCAAACACCACAGACCCCGCTGTCTCCTCTGTCTCTTTTTCTGTCTCTTTTTCTGTCTCTTTCTCTGTCTCCTGCTCTCTCTTCTGGCTGCTGCAGCCTCTCCTACTGCCTCGGCTTGAGTCTGAGCCACTTTGCTGCTGCTGCTGCTGCTGCTGCTGCTGCTGTTGGAGATGTCCGTCTTCCGCGGCCCCCTAGGCCTCTCCAGACCCCTCGCTGTTGACTGCCTCCATCCAGCACCAGCAACAGCAGCAACAGCAGCAACAGCAGCAGTAACAGCAATAGCGACAGCAAGAGCAAGAGCAGCAACACGATCAAAGACTGCAGCAGGAGTGAAGAGCAACTCAGCAGCAGCAGCAGCTGCTGCTGCTGCTGCACCGTTTTCATACTTCATGGGGTCTCCTGCGGCATCGCCTGTGACCCAACCAGCAGCAACAGCAGCAACAGCAGCAGCAGCAGCAAGAGCAGCAGCAGCAACTCATGTCTCTTGTCTGGCGTTCCAGTTTCGCTGCTTCGGTGCCCTAGATATATTTAATCGGGTTGCTGGCAGCAGCAGCAGCAACCCGCGGCTGAAGCCGTCCGGGGGCCTTTCTTCTTCTTCTGCTGCTGCTGCTGCTGCTGCACCAACGAACATATTCGACACCTTCATGGCCATAGAACGCAAAGTTCGTCTCCAGATGCATGCACTGCTGCTGCTGCTGCTGCATCCATTGCTGCTGCTGCTGCTGCTGCAAATGTTGCTGCTGTTGCCGTCTGTGCTGCTGCTATTTCCAAGTACAGCTCCTGCTGCTGTTGCGTTTAAATGCAGGTGCTGCTGCTGCTGCTGCTGCTGCTGCTGCTTGCATGCATTTGTGTGACTACTGTCTCCTTGCTGCTGCCTGTTTGTTTGTTTTGTTTTGTTTGTTTAGGGGAGAGAAGTTGTCTCCTCCTTAACAGACCGAGAGGGCCGCATGCAGCAGAAGCAGCAGCTGCTGGTGCAGCAGTTTTATGTTTTTTATATAAAACAGTTGATGGCTAAGCAGGGCGTCTTCGCCCTTGAAGATTTCCTCACTCTCAAACGGGTGCTCTGCTGCTGCTGCTGCTGCTGCTGTTGCTGCTGTTGCTGTTGCTGCTGCTGCTGCAGTGGTTGCTGCCGCTGCTCCGGTATTTCCACTGCTGCTAGTGCTGCTTTTGCTGCACGTGCTGCTGCCGCTGCTTCTGAACTTCTGCTGCTGCTGTTGCACTTGCCGCTGCTGCTGCTGCTGCATTGCTGCTGCTGCTGCTGCATTGCTGCTGCTGCTTCTACAGAACTTGCTCGACTACCTGATTGCTTGTGAGGATGAGCTGGGGGGGCTGCGGCGGCGAATTGGGCGGCGGCTGCATGCAGCAGGGTGGCAGCAGTTTGCTGCTGAGGAGTCAAAAGAAGTGCAGCAGTTCAAGGAGGAGGGTAAGTATACAAGTTATAACAATTAAATAAAATAAATAAATAAAAGTAAATAAATAAATAAAATAAATTCATTTAATTATATTAGTTGAATGCATCAGTTAGGTGAATCGGAGAGAACGACACAAACAAAAGAGACAAAAAAGCAAAGAGACACAGAGGAGACAAGAATACAGAAGGAGACAGAACGAAGGAGACAGACAGCACAACGCATGGTTGCTTGCTCCTTTTTAATTAACCTGTTCTCTTATTGTCTTTCTGCTGCTGCTGCTTCTGCTGCTGTTGCTGC